AAAATAAGTTTTTGCTAATATTGCAACGTTATATTGCAAAATTACGGTACGGTATATTGTAATATTACAGTTTTGTTACAACAAAAGGGATCATTTGTTGCAATATTACAACATTTGAGATTTAATTATGGGGGACAAGTTTAACATCATAGCGCCATCATTACCGACATAAATATCTATAAAATGACCTTGAAAACGACTTAAATGAACTTGATTTATTATGAATTCATAATGATATTTTAATTTAAGCAAAAATTCTAAATGATCAGACAAAAACTTTCCTTTACTTGAGGAACCAATGATTTGATTCAATAAGTTGATTTCCAATTTTGAATTTTGTTTTGCAATAAAATGATTTTATAATTCTATCAGATTTTTCTATCCGATATTATAAAAAGATAATGATTTCCATTCTTAAATTATTATAATTTGAATCATCGTTTAATTTTATTTGGATTAATCATTAATCTGAGTAAAATAATTGATTAGAAAAATATTCCTTTTATCATTAAGAAAATTTACTTAACAAAATAAAAAATGAAATACAAAGTAAATCGCATAAAATGCAGCAGGCAAAGCTAGGTAGCATTCTTCAAGATTAGAAAGAAAGGAGGCTGAGAATTTAGAATAAAAATGATGCAAATTTCTATACACTGAGAAAAATGGCGTATTTCATATTGGGAAGTCAAAAAAATTAGAACTAGATAATCTATGGAACAATAATAAAATTAACCTACTCAATCACATAATATGAAAAATGTTATATAAACTATTATTTACAGTAGTTTCGTATGGTAATTGTTAGTTTAAAAAGTATATCTCAGGTCAATCAAAAATCTGGAGAAGATATATAGAAAAATTCGAATATAACTATAATGAAGTCTTAAATGATTTTATTTTGTACATTAAATATCCCAATGCACATTTTTACTAAGCCTAGCGTCACTAGGAATAATAAATAACTTTACATAATTGAAATAGCATATATTACAGGTTTCAATTTTCTACTAGCCAACAAATTTGTATAATACTATCAATACGTTCTGGCTCATTTTTATTTGTATTGAAACTCGCCTTGCGATCTCCAAATGAATGACGCATTATTGGCATTCTAATAATTTAATGTATCCAACCGTAGCTTAACTATGATTGTTAGGAACTTGATTCATCTGAATTATCTGTACAATTAGACCTTACTGAAAAGCTTTCAATTTTGGAAACAAGAAATTTAATCAACCTAATATCCATCCTGAAGCTTTTATACAAGCAGAATCTTGCATTTCCCTGAATTGTATAATGATTGCAAAAAGAAAAAGTCTAATTTCGTAAATACATATTTGACAACAAAATATTAATCGGCAAATTCATTAGACGTAATTTCATTTAACATTTTAAACGGTCATGAGGTTTTGATCATTGTACTGCGCCGATTTTTATTTATAAGTTAGCTATTTTTTTTTATTTTTCTACTTTATAATATTATTCAGTATTTGTATTACTTATTAACATAGAAAGGCGTAGTTTAGTATTATTTAAGAACTTAATTAAAAAGACATGTAATTTGACTTTGAATCGATAGGGTTTTCCAAAAAGTTTTTGGATAAGTCTTGGGATTAAATTATAGCTCTATATTTTAATAAAGATACTATTTTAAATTTTAAACTTCTTCATGCCTTTTAGTCAAAAGAAATATAACTTTGATGTGTGAATGAAACACAAACAATTCAAAAAACAATACATTTAAAGAAACTTTACAAATCTTAAAAGAACAAAAATATTTTAATTGACGTGTTCCAAACCAAACATGTATAAATTTATGTGTAAAACTTGATATTATCGTTAATGTTATAAGACTTCATGTTGAAATTATATTGTAATAAATAGAACACCATTTGTAATAAACGTTTAAATAACAGGATACTTTTACAAAATAAATAAAATAATTTAAAAAAAACATTAATCTAACTGAAATAAAAGAAATTTCTATAAAATTCTCTCAATTCTAAATTTAGGGCTAACCCAAACTTCATAGTCCTTCTCGTTATTAATATCACCAAAAATTTCAGTGCTCTAACCCTAATAAAATATTCTCCATTGGAAGCAGGTTTGGATTGATTAAGTCCATCAAAATAAAATCTCCATTTTTCTCCTACGATGTATTTTGGAAAAGGAAAATACCTTTTACCATTTTCAATTGATCTTAAAAGATGATGATTAACATCAAGTATCTCAGTAAAAACCACTAGTAATAAAGGTGAATTTTTAATTGGATCCTTCTTTGTGATATATTTCTTCGAATCGGAAATTGCAGGAATTTACCGGGGGGAGGGGGGGGGACAAAAATATTGCACAGCTTAAAAATAAAAATTTAAATAAATTTTTTATAA